TGATAAGTACGGTCCTGTTTTTAAGAGGAATTTTTGGGGAACATCAGTGGTTTATGTCAAAGACCCAAAGGATATCGAAGTCGTCATCAAAGCAGATGGAAAACATCCCATGCGACCTCCCTCAGCTGTAAGCACGGCGATTAATAAGTACAGGAAAAGCAGAAAACTCCCTAAAGTCCTTTTTGGATTGTAAGTATTGAGAAATTTGTGAATCAACCAATGAAAAATATAGGTGGCAAAATTGGGGGGGTTGTGGGGGCAGCCTTCCCCCCCCCCCCCAGGAAAAATTTGGGGACTCTGTACACCAACGTATAAGTCTCGATGATATTACTAACGCAGCATAAAATAAGCTTCCCCATATATTCAGTCTAGGAGTCTTCAAATTGTTTCATCAGGATCATGTAAGGCAAAATTCAATGTGGGATGAGGTTTTCATCTGATCAACTCCACCTTGCTGGATTTTTCCACTAGACTTAAGTGAAGTGGATTAAATTTTGCATTGATGTGATAACATGTGAGGAATGGAAACAGACAGTCTTTATGAGAACTCAACCATTTTTTTTTCATCAAATAGACTAAGCTCTCTCTTTTTATTTTCTACAAATTTCATAACAGTGAGGTGTATTTCAGCTTAAAAAAAAATGAGGAAGAGGAAGAGAATCAAAAGCAATCCAAGGGAACAAGAATTTTGTTTATTTGGATTTTTCTGTAATAAGTTAAATATGATTTGAATTCTAGCTGCATCAGGAAATTGCAACAGAGAAATAAAGTAACGAAAATATAGTGGCTAAAACATTACATTACACTGCAAGGAAAGGATATTTACTTGAACTACTCAGGGGAAAGCATTTCAGAAAAATTTGTCTCAGGGTATGCACTTGCCCTGGTATACTGGGTGAGCTAGAAGTGTCCCCCTCTCCCCTCACTTCAAAGCCCTTTGTTGCCATTGAAACATTAAGGAGAAAATGAGATAATTCACTGCCTCTGAGCCAAAATGAACTTGACAGAAGATCAAGTTGGGCAGTGTGGCAGGGAGTTTAGCCCTTTCATCTCAAAGTTGCTTTCTAACAGAACCAAAATGAAAATCTCGAGCACAAAATACTGAAAAGGCAACAATTTGTGGGTAGGATTTGACAATGACACTGCAAAAAAGTTGGAGGAACTGTTAACTTTTTAAACCTTAACATAAATAGCCATATTTTCCACACTGTTCTCTCTGCATTTTCTATATCGGTAATGACAATAAGGAGCTTCAGTTGGTGATCATTTTCCTTATTCTCATGATGTTTACAGTTTAGTCAAGAGTGATATTGTAAGGAGAAATTAGAGGCTAGTCATTCTTATAAGTTAGAGTCTTAAGCTTTTACACCACAATGTCAGTATGTATATTCCCCATACTATTCTATACACATTTGCTAAGTTGTTGACAAGGAGAATTTGCTCTATAATCAAGAGCCTCTTTAGTTGGTGATCATTTCTTTTATTCTTGTGACCTAATTGTGTGATTTAGGGATGACTTTGTGAGTAGAAATTAGCAAGGGTTTTAAAATGCTTTGAAGTAGGAGTCAAACTTGGCAAAAGTGGTTGACTGTGAAAAGTTTATTTAAGGCCAAAAGGTAATTATTTTGATTAGAGTAACCGGCAACATGATGTCAAGATGAACATGAACTCCAGCAGTCACCAGCTTGTTTTGAAATCCCTGAATTAGATGTTAGTCACTCTTAAGGTCATAGGGTTAAGAAAGAGAGCTTGTAAAAGTCTTTGAGAGTGTAAGGTATGTGTAACGGTAATTAACAGGTTATAGATACTAAAGAGTGTAACAATCTAAGAGACAAAGAGATCTTGATCGTGTGGTAATTAAGAATGAGTCTTATGTAAGATATCATGACAATTTCATGTATGATATACTTGAGCTCTTGGGGAAATAATGGTGAATTAAGGAACAATTTACCTCAAGTGTTGACCTAAGTGGTAGCATAAATGAAATTTGTAATTTATGGTTGAGGTGAATCAAAATGAAAAACAGGGCTAGATCTTGATCAATTAGTAATGCAACCACATTTTTAATCACATTGGTTAATAATTGTTCACCAAAGTAGAGATAAATATCCACCACTTTCACTAGCACTGAGGTGAATAATTTTTTAATTATATACCACATAGATACCTCAACTCGAACTTGAAGCCAACTTGAACTCTTGATTATATTCATCCCTGGCTGCTCCAGGGGTTAATAATACTGGCTATTCACTTCCAAACTAGCCAATTAGCACTTGGGAAACCGTGACTATAGTCTACTTGTGTGGTATATACTAACAATCAGTATCCACAGGGACAAAATAATATATATATTTTTGCTTTTATCGTGAAATTTGTTAATATTGTAATATTTAACCCACCAGTATTTAACTTCTGGGGGCACCAATAAGGTGAAAATATGTAAAATAACATAAAATGTGAATATCTTAGTCTATATGCTGTGTGATGTTATACCACTATCTGTATAAAGTATATACAGACTAGGTTAGTGCCTGAAAATCCCACAGTTTATAGACTATGATAATCACATATTAAGCTGTTATCTTCAACTACCAACCAATAAGTAGTTTCTCTATACAAGACCTGTTAATTATCAAACAGAGATAATGAGAAGGAATGGAAAGAACAATCTAGGGAATATCACTTGATTTTATACTAAATTCTCACAGCTAAAATCTCTAGAAATGCACGAGATTCAGTGAGGAAAACAGAGATATTGAGAGTAATAGGGAAAACTCACTTGCAGAAAGCCCACATGTGGTCTTTACTGATGTTTGGTTCATTTTGTTGTAAAAAATAACAATATTTTAAGGACTGTTTAAAAAAATGAGTATTACTAGTAAAGATAAATGATGGTAAAATAGGAGGGCAAGATGACCCTCGTAGCTGAGGAGCGAGGTGATATTAGTCGAGATCCTTCATCCTTTCACTCCCAGAAGTGATTAACATGCAAAATCTCCCTCTAGTATTCATACGTTATCCAGCAAACAGGTGAAGAGAATATTCAAACTCATCAGGTTGAAGTTGTTATCTCGTTTCAACACCAAATTCTCTCAACTTATTTACAGGGAAATATATAGCAGCTAAAAGAGAGAATTAACAATCAGATCTTGGGAGTGAAAGGGTTAAAGCAAACAACCCTTGATTGCGGTTAAAATTTGACAAAGTCTTTAACTGTTTAACTAATTTTCAAACTATTCTTGAGCGACCTTCCCGATTTTCTGATGCCCAAGCTTCTTATCGAAAATTTCTTGATTGGCGGACAGTTTTAGATGACCTGGCAAGATCTAAAAATAATCCAATTTTCTACTCTCCTTTATCAAATTTGACAATAATATTTGGTCTCGTGTTTCCCTATAGGGACGGTGAGGAATGGAACCGAGTACGAAAGGCTTTAGCGTCAAAAATGCTTCGACCGAAAGATATCAGAGACAACCTGGAAATCTTTAATGGAGTGACAAGAGATGCTATAGAACATATGCTTTCAGTGCGGGGTGCAGATGATGTCATTCCAAATCTCGAGGAGGAACTTGGAAAGTGGGCGACGGAATGTACGTAAATATTTCACGAAAGTGTGAGTAGATCCATTAAGGCTGTGATCCCAGTGAATGGGGTGTATCACTGATGCAAGTTGCTCTGTAGGTAGAGCCTCTCCCAGCAGGTATCTCCAAGGGACCCTAGGGAAATGGTATAAATACCAATGGGAGAAACCAAAACCCTTGGAGAGGGAGCAAATTACAGCACGTCTAAAACGTGTTTCTTCCTCCACTGATCTGGAGGCAGGAAAACCAAAGGCTGAGCATATTACATGCGCAATCTGTAGATCCCGCCAGCGGTTTGGATTCTACGCTGACCGTGAGCAGAATTTGTTTAGAGGTAGTCCTGGGTACTACTCCACAGTTGTAAGTGATTAATAAAGGGGATGAGTTTTCAACGAAACTGTTGTCCTGCGTCAGTGGGAGAATATAACAGGGTTATGAAATATTCTCAACTGAGTTGCTGGCATGAATTGGCCACCGTCAAGAGTATCAAAGGTGACGTTTCTAGTTCTAGCCCTTTGTCATTTGCTCTGACTCAGGACGAAATCCAGTGATCAAGCTCAACCATATTCACCATCAATGCTGGGGAATTCTACAACACGACGGATCAGGGGTTCAGTTCCAAATTGGTGCACAGACGAACACCCTGTGCAGAAACAACTGGGTTCACTCGAGTCCTAAGTATGGTCTCCGTTTCGATGGGCAGCCGCCGCGTGTGGGACGCGGCGGTACAATGAAGGAAAACGTTGTTTGGAGAAGCGGCGGGATCATGATCAAAGGCGAATCCCACACAGTGCTAAACAACCTCGCCTTCGGCAAACGAAACGATAAAAGCGGTGACCAACAAGGCGCAGGCTGCTCTTTATGTGTTTTGAAGTTCGTTCGTTCGAATCCAGTTGAGATCAATAAACAAACAGAAGTTTTGCGCAACGCAGCAGATGTGGCAAATGGTGGCAGGCGCAAGAAGCCCCGTGGCACATATCCTCTTGCAGGAAGCCGTGTTGCGTTCAACATTGTAAGTAACGTGAGGGAACAGTTTGAAGACGCGGATAACATGGACTTTCGGCCTCGTAAAGACTCCAAATACATTAAAGATGGCGTTGGACCTTACCGTTATGATCCAAATGGTAGATTCTATTGGATTCCTGGACGGTAGCTCTATAAGACCAGCACTCCAGAGTGAAGGTATGAAATTAAAAAGACAGTTATACGAAAATGTGACACCGAGTCAATAATTACGGCGACACATATTTCTTTCGTTTTTTTGAGAAAAACATTCTTTTTTTTAAACAAACAAACCACAGAAACTAGGAATTTTGTTGAGAGTTGGGAGTCGGAGATTGTATTCATTTCCAACTTCATAGAGCACGTCGTAAAATAGAATGAATGAAAAAATCGTTTGCCATTTACTTCAAAACCAAAATGGGTAAGACTTAAAAGAAGGAGAGAAGATTGTTTAATCTGGTCACCACTACGAAATGCAGACTAAATTTGAAGATGGAAAAATCACATCTTTTTAATTTCCCAAAGCCGAGAAAACCTTTGCAAGACTTATCGAGGTACTGATTCTATTATTGTTAGATAACTACATTTAATACACGTCTCCCTGCTACTGTTATTCTATTTCGTGGAGACTCTCTGAAGTCATGCATACTTCTCTGACCTATCAATTTTTTTTAAAGTCTGTCAGAGATGCTGTAATGTGGTTAAACGCATTTGGTGCCTCAATTCACCATGTATACTTTGGAACAGACAAGTCGAACGTTGCCGATGCATCACGGAACTCCGCCGAATACAAGGCGAAGATTACTGCTGATGGCAACGTATATTACTTGAAGGAAAATCTTTTTTCCAGCTCTACCTATTACTGGCGAGTAGATGCTGAATTGGACTAGAAAACTATTTACAAGGGAGACGTTTGGTCTTTTCAAACCAAGTGAGACCAAGTTGATGATGAAAAATGCGAAGAAGAGAAAAAATGGTAGCTAGATGACTCACTGTTCTTAAAGTATGAAGAAATAAACTTCAACCTATTGATTACAGATTGAACAAAATATCGCCAATAAAGCATCATGATCAAGTCTACTTTGTGTTCCGTGGTTTATGTTAGGCAACTCGCCAAATTTGTGATAATGCGTAATGATCAGGTCTCATTTTCTTTTCAGTATTTGATAAAGGAACAAGTTGTTCCAAGCTCATTTTTTTTCATCTCTAAATTATGCAACCACCATGCATTGCTAACATTGCAAGAGCGAGCCAGAGTCTCCTTGCAAATTTATCAGGTTTGTGATCAGATCTTAATTGTCTCTTGTTCAGAATTCCGAAGAGTTTGACTTCAAGCCAACACAAAAGTGAGGTAATGAAGAATATGCAAAGCTTGATATGTATAAAGCTTGATCTTGTTCTCTTATGGAGTCTACTAAATTTTACAAGGTTTTGAACGTATATGGCTCTGCACTTGCTTCAGTCTGGAATCCACAAATGCGCTAGCATGCTCATAAAATTCTTCTCAACACCCAACTCATGTCACGCAGTGTCACGCAAGCGAGATGAAGTATATTTGCTAAAATTCGAAGCACCTAAATTTTTCGACTGCAGGGTCGTGTTACAGGGTTCAAAATAATAGCCGGCTGCCGGCGGATTTGGATCCCCGTTCGCAGATTTGGACCCCTACCAAACTTTCCTTTTAAGCATCATTTGTATCAAATTTGGTAACAAATTCTAATTGCAAGCTTTTTGTCGATGTTCTTTTCAATCACAACACAACATTCCTCAATAAAGGTAAAGAAAAACAGTCATTTCGTTCCAATTCTGCCGCTTTTATTATAGCGAGTCGTACAGTAAACGCAAGAATTAGATGCAAACAAATTACTGCATTCGAACTATTGAAATTGTTACAATAAATCCTTTCTTCTTCTGATGCGAATCAACATTGATACGAAACGTCATAACAATAGTGGAGACTATTGCGTCTAGTCACAAAAATAACTCAGCCTGATTTTCTAATTAAATAACATTAAACAGTTTCTGAACAAGAACGAAGTAACTACTCTTACTACAAGTCGTTCGTAAAGCCTATGAAAAGTAAAAATGTTTCTATTCTGAACTATTGGAACTCTCAGCTTATTTTCAGATGCAAATCAACATTAATGTCTACGTCTTAACAAAAGTGGAGACTATCACATCGAACTCAATCTTATTTTCTAACTGTAACGATTATCACATTATTAACTGTTGAGGGATCCGAAATAACACCTTAACAATTACGAAGACGTCTCGAGTCTGGAGGTCTGCAGACAATGCAGAGCTACTCGCGCCCTCTGGGGCTGTCTTAAATCCCTCACAGCTTATGTGTAACCATTCCTCGTACAACTCGCAGCGTACCATGTCGTCCAAACACTCGGGCACTGAACAATAACAAAATGAATTAGTGTCACAAGTTTGTCTCTTATTGAATCTAGCGGTGTTCGGCTATCGGGGAAAAGGTTCCAAAACGACCTTTCTCAAACATTAAACTTAGTGCTTGCGCATTTTCCCCTGGTCAAAAGAAACATCGACGGCAGAAATTTTTTTTGGGATCACTTTCGGAAGGGAGTTACTACATCACGGGCAACGAGCGGGTCAGGAAGAAATGATCGAAATAGAAGTGGTCAGCGGGGAAACAAATTTAATATTTCATATAGAGACATATCAGTTGTAGTTGCAGAAAGCAATAGTGTTGTAAAGCCGAAATGTCAACAGTATACTTCGCTCAATAAAATGTGAAGCAATTTTTTAAAAGTGTTGATGGCACATGTATCTTTTACTGCTATATTAACCAACAGAGGCATCGGGAAAGGCATCGGTGACACCGGGAAAGGCATCAAGAAGAATGATATTTACGATATGTAACTTGTTGTGTGACGAAAAAAAGTATCTTGATTTGTTTAAGGCATTAATCACAGTCGGTTTGCTTTTCACTTGAAAAAACTCTAAAAAAAATTTGGTTCTAGATTTTTATATTTTTAGAGTCATTAATAAGTTTGTATCCACAGCCTTTAGATAAGAAATTTTAAATTTCCATCAGCTGTAGTTCTTTTAGTGTTTATTATATATATTCAATCGCCTCGTTTCAAGTGAAAAAGGCATGTAGGAAAACACTGAGCTTCGAGAAACAGCCAAGTTAAGGCTAATGTGTTTACCATGCTTAAATATTTATAATCAAGGCCACTCGTTTAGGAGACCTTTTTTCAAAAGATCCAGGCGTTAAAATAATTCTGTTTTCCGTTCGAAGTGTATTTTTCTTTTTTATTTAACAAGTGAACTCGGGATGAAAACTTTCAAAGCGAACGGTAGGTGAAATGTTGTGTTGGTGTCTCTGTCCCCCCCCCCCCCCCCCCCCCCCCCCCACGTCTCTGCGAAAGGTACATCCAGACAACCTGCATGGAAAAACTGACCACTATCGCACCACATTTTTAAAACAAATCTTTAAAACTAAACTGGTTAGCAGCACTCTGCGAACGGTAGTTGTAAAATTTCTTTATTCTCCGACGCGTTTCGTTTAACTGTCGTAGACTTCTTCGGGGAGTTTTAAAGTTTAACACCAAACAACTGTATTTATAAGACATAGTTAGTGGCTCTAGGGGAGCCAATGACCATAAAGGCTTGGCCGGACCTACGAATAGGAACTGGTGAAGTTAAGGAAAATTTGAAAACTTTTTGGGGCAAGGTGGGAGAATTCATTTGGGGACCACGGTTTTGGTTTTCTTTTTTCGTCACTCAGCAAGTTACAAAACGTAAATATAATTCTTCTTGGTGCCTTTCCAGATGCCACCGATGTCTTTTCCGATACCTCCATTGTTTATTACAGCAGTAAAAGATATATGTGCCATCAACACTTTTGAAAAATTGCTTAACATTTTATTTAGCGAAGTATGCTGTTGACATTTCGGCTTTACAACACTATTGTTTTCCGCAACTATAACTGATCGTCGCCCGTGATGTAGTAACTCCCCTTTCAGAAGGAGCTTAGAAACCAGGCTCAACTCAGTAGCCAAGCCTGAAACTGAATTTGTGCCCAAGCCTTTTCTTGCTTGCGTGACCTTTTTTGTCACATTAGAGAATACAAGGAACTTCGGCGAGTAGTAAACACGAGCTCAAATTTTTAAAGCAGCAAAGAGAAAAACGTTTTGAGACTGAAAGGTAAGTAAGTAAGTATTTTAGTGTTTTACAACCTAAATTTAGTGTTTCCCTTTGTAATTTTACAACGTACAGTAAATTGTCAAATCAATAAACTCGAAAAACTTTCAGCTAAAATTTAACTCTGTATTAATAACCTTATACTTTCTTGATCTGATATCTCAATTAGCGATAACACCAGAAATCATTTGCTTTTGTGGTATATACTATATGTATACCTTACTTGTTGAAGTACGTTGTCATGAAATAATGCACTTAGCAACAATTAATCTGATTACACAAAACTGAGTCAATGTTTAAATTGTTCCCTGGACTGCCTGGACTGCCTGGACATCTGAAGCAACTGATAATGCATTTTGGGAGTGGTAGGGATGCTTACTTCATAGTGGCTATGGCCGTACCTGTTCTTGAATTTGCCCTGTTGATTGTAATAGATTTTCCATGCATTGTCTGTTTTTTTTTTTCAGGAAATTTTAGTCTGCAAGAAGAAAATTCTTTTACAAAAGAATCCTTTTCCTGTAACGTGTACAACTGTTGCTTACATTTGCCATATTTCTGATATTTTTATCATAACAGAATTTTTCACAAAAATTATTTGACATTGAATTCTTTTACAAATACTGCAAGGTCAAGCCTGCCCACCAACCCATCAAGGTGGTGTTGAAAACTACAGTAAGATCTATTGAATATAGTTCAAGCACTGAATTTTACTCCATGATTTACTACTACAGAATATGGGGCTTTTTTATGATTAGGTACCAAGCAAAAAAAGAAAATGCTTTCTTGGCTCATTTGCATCAAGCGACGTAATATAATTCACAAAGATTATTTGACATTGGATTCTCATACAAATACTGCAAGGTCATGCCTGCCCACCAACCCATCAAAGTGGTGTTAAAAACTGCAGTAAGGTCTATTGAATATAGTTACAGTACTGAATTTCACTTTGACTTACAATCCCAGAATATGGGGCTTTTTTATGATTAGGTACAAAACAAAAAAAAAGCTTTCTTGGCTCATTTGGATCAAGCCACCTAATATAATGCAATCAATGTCTTGTTTTCTGTATCGCGAGTCATTGCTCAGTTGGAATTGATATTTAAATCTTTGTTATAATCATTTAAATCCAACTGAATGTATTTCGTTCATTACTTTTCCACTGACTGCCAAACCAGCAAGCTTTGAGGCATTAAACTGTGAGGACTTTAAAAAAGGCCCTATATTGTTTACATGTAGCTGCTTTGGGGGAGGGGAGTGGTAAAGTTTCAAATTGGTTAAGAGTATGTAACACAAAAAAAAAATGATAATAATGTTAATAATAATAATAATTCATTTTTTCCATCCTTTGTTGCAAATGCATCTGACCCAGAGTCATTATTGGAACATACCAGAATAGCCTTTTTATTAGTGCAAGGCCTCAGTGGTACACAGATATGATATGAAAATAATTTTCTCTTGTGTGAAGCATCAGTCAATTTAGGAATTACCAAGTGTAAAATTTCAAGTCAATATGGTCCAGAAACTACTCATTTTTATAGAGGGTGGAGCTGGGAGGGATAGAAGGGTCGGAATTATTAGGTTTGCGGACCGTTTTCACTCTTTGCACTCATACACGCACACTTCAGATGGTTGCTCAACACAACAGCGTCAAAAAATAATCAAGCAAATAACTAAGACGTGCAAAGCTTCCACGGTTAATATAAATTTGCCGCTATAAACAGTGAAAAGGCCTTACAGATTTTACTCGTAGCTTTTTTAAAGGTACAACTTCCTATGACGTTCTTACAAGATTATCAAGTTGTCAAATACGTATTTTCATATGATTGATACCAATTGCTTCATTAAGTCGAAATAAGCTTAATGTCAAGAATAAATAAGCAGATTACCACACTTACGACGAATTTTGTGGTCCGTTAAAAAAGGTACTTGGTTCAATTACGTAGTTCACCGAAAGGTTAATTTTGTTTGCCTGCTAGGATTTCTTTTAACATTGAATACATTTTCAAGACCTGTACTCGACGAGGTGCACTTCTTGCGATTGTTCTGCAATCTAGTGAGTCCTTCGGAAAAACGTCACCGAGAGCAGAGCTTGTAAGACACTATTCAGAAGCAAGTATTTTCTAGGTTTGAAATTCCCTTCGGTTCCATTTGACAGTGAGTAGTGTTTGGAATTCACGAAGAAAGCGTATTTTAGCCAAAGGCAGAAGATTCGTATTTGAACGGAGCGCAGCGAGATAAGGTAATATTCTTTCCCGCGAAAATGACAAAAAAATAGGGTTAATAGATAACTTCCCATTTGTTTTTTCTCGCGCAAGTAACACAAATGTTCCCTTCCCTGTCCTCATCTAATCGCACTTCAACCAGTCGGGGGAGGTGAGTGTAGAATTGTTAATAAATCATCAGAAGGCTTGTTTACCTAATTGAGCCTGGTGTCTAAGCTCCTTTAGAAAGTGATCCCAAAAAAGATTTCTGCCATCCGACGGGTCATTTCCAGCTGCCATTTCGTATGCATTGGCGATACACATGTTTTGAATTAAAAACATACTTTAGTACGCACTGGGACGTAAAGTATTATCTATTTCTACTAAAACGTTAAGGATGATGTTTTCACTCAGTTTTGAGTTGAAATTTGGATCCCCGGTCCATATCCGCTAGTGGATTTGGACCGGGGAGTCCAAATTTAGGGGGGGCCAAATCCGCTAGGACACCAGAACTTTTAACACACTTGCCAGCGATTTGTCACCCAAGAACCAGAATTTTATAGAAAATATTATGCTTATTGATCGTCCAACTGAAGTAAAAGTCGCCGTCATGTAGTGGTGAACATTTCATATTACGCAATAAAGTAGCCAAGACATGTTTTAAAAACATTTTGGAAACGTAAACGAGTATAGAGTTTCGAAATTTGGAGCGTGATACAGGGAGTGTTTTCAGTTTTCTATGTATTTGTTCAAGCGTGAAACATGAAATTTGTGTACACACCGTCACATATCTGTGTTTATGTTTCTGCACGTACCTACTACCTTCATTCAAGATATATTTTCCGCCAAATCCTGTTTGATGTCGTTTGTGAAGCCTTCCTATGCGTTCAAATTGAAGTCGGTGCTTGAGAGTTCGGTTTTTTTCACGGCTATGAATGGAGAAGCGCGACAGTTTATTTAGACAAAGTTTTATATTTCACGCTTGAACAAACACTGAAAAAATCGAGTCGTTCACTACGCCTTTTTAGAAAAGGAATTGCCGCAACAGAATGTGTTGATCAAAATAAAGCTTCCGATGCTGAAATTAAAGCCTACAAATTCACGCTAAAAGCTGAAAAAGTAGTTTGAACCCTGTGTTGTGATAAAAGCTATTCGTGGGGGGCACGTAGGACGCTTTAAGGACCATTCCAGTATTTTATCCAAGCTGTGTTTAAACGATTTATCCAGCAGCATTTTGGCTTTGAAACTCACTTTGTAAGTACAGTGGTAAGTGCATGTTGTACGCTCAAACGTAGAAACACAAGAAAACATCATGACACCCTCTTCATCTTGACAGAAAGGGCGACGTTCTCCATCGTAAACTTGTAACTGACTCCACAAATGCGAACAACTCCGAAGAGTTCTGGAAGTGATGAAAGTGTGCGGTTTCCGGTCTTTACGGTAATGATGACAATTAGCTTGCCACCATGCATTGCACTATTCAACTGAAAAACTGAAAGTTTCTTTCTTTTTTTGTTGTCACTCACGAATGTATCTAAGGCATCTCGCAATTTTGTGATGAACAGGGGAAAGAAATGGGCCTTTGGCCGTTTCATTTGGAAGTTTCGCCGACTTTAACAGTCTTCTTTCATTTGATAGTTGTTTACGTAAATGAAATTATTTTGATTGAGTCAGGTAGGGGTAGCTTCAGTTATTCATGGAAGACTTCTCAAAGCCGGAAACATTGGCAGAATATTGAAACAGAAATGGGTTGTTGACTTAAATGCGACATAGTTAAGAATAGCAGGTAATTTAGTGTTAACAACTGGGTTGCAAACGTAAATTAGCCACCGTAAAGGGTAAAAAAGCTGACGTTTCGAGCGTTAGCCTTTCGTTCGAGCGATTAGACGCTCCGACGAAGGGCTAACGCTCGAAACGTCAGCTTTTTTACCCTTTACGGTGGCTAGTTTACGTTTTCAACCCAGTTGTTGACCCTAAATTACCTGCTATACTCTCCCACCGACGCAGCACCACAGTTTCTTTAGAAACTTACCCCTTTATTCATAGTTAAGAATAGACTGAGGCCGGAACAATATTTAAAATGAAATAACCCTGCAAAGACTAAAAAGAGTAGCTTCCGCTCAGGATCATAGAAAATGAAATCATGGGATGTGGGGTAGAAAAGTGAAACTTCGAGGAAGATTTAAAACAGATCATTTCAAGAGCATATTCTATTTCGTGTGCCGTCACTTTTGGCAGGTGAACTTGTGGACAAGATGTCCTCTGTCTTCTTTTCATTTTTACTGACAGGTGATACGTTTATTTTGAACTGTAACTATGCTATCAATTAATTTTCCACACTTATATCAGTTGCTCTATTTTATAGGTTGCCTGATACAAAATTTTGTGACTGGAAACTTTGGTAAGCTACTTTAACTCATTGAGATAAATTTATTTTGATCTTCTGCTTTATTACGGGAGTAATTACCTTAGGACTTGTTAAGATACACTTATTGGTGCTTCGACACATTTCTCAGGCAGCATTTCCCTTCGACTAAGCAAGGAAAAACTTCTTAATTCATTCGTTTTTCAAAGCTTATTCTTTCTCATTCAAGCCACAATTTCTTTCAATCTCTTTTAATCGTCTATCGGTTTCCTCTGAGCCACCACTCCCTTGTAGAAATTAAAGGTACGAGCAGACTAATTAGAATCGAATTACCCTTTTTCTAGTAACAGTTCGATTAGTTGGTGGTGGCAACCAATTTCAAGGGCGGGTTGAAGTGTTTCACGATGGTTCCTGGGGAACAGTTTGTGATGACCAGTGGACACTTATGGAAGCCAACGTGGTTTGTCGCCAACTGGGGCTGGATCAAGCCTTTTCAGCGGTCCAGGGAGGAGTTTTTGGTGAAGGAAGTGGAAAGATATGGATGGATCAGGTGAAATGTTTTGGAGATGAAAGAAGATTATCAGATTGTTCTTTTCCTGGATGGGAAAGACACAACTGTAAGCATTCTGAAGATGCAGGAGTAATTTGTATGCTAGGTAATAAAAAATATGCTGTATACAAAAAGTTTGTTTTCGTGTTGCCATTTTGCTTATTTTTTCTGTATTTAATTGTTCTGTTTTGTTTTGTTTTGTTTTTTTTTTACACTAATATACGTATCGATGATTGCCTGGATTGAGGGGAAGCCTTACAGCCCCAGTTAGTAATCTTTTATTGGCATTCTTCTGTCGCTAAATTCAGGACTATTTTGAACAAGTTTACATTATTCTTGGCGTCGTGAACTGAGTTTTTCTACAATCACAAAAAAACTCGTCCTAGTTCATGGAAAAGCACTTGGAAATTACATTTACCAAGCCTGCTGAAGCGTTCTCCAAACTTTAGGAAACTTTGTCTTAAGACAGGTAACTAAGGTCTAATTTGAAGTTGTCACTAAACCAAATACGTTTGATGATTTTACTCTTTGGTTGTGTGGATCAGCTTTTCCTGGCAAATCGACGAGGTTTTTTCGGTTGTTTTTCTCAAAATTAGCAGAGAGACAGTTATTAATTTAATTCATGCATCGACTCATGCAATTATTAGTTAACAGTTTACACTTTTGAGGGATTAACAGTTAGTGTGATGGTCATCCACATCAACCAACCCCATCTAAGATTATTCATCGCCTTGTCACGGTAAGTTCTTCCTTAGCCAGTCCCACTATCTAACCGTTTGCTTCTCTCGTCACTCAGTAACGCAAAACAATGTTCCTTCCGCCTCATCACCTCCCTATAGAAAAATAAACTCAAAAATTAACTCATGATGGCATCTTATCTTTCCCATTTGACAGTTCGATTAATTGGTGGAAGTAACCCATTTGAAGGGAGGGTTGAAGTGTTTCACGCTGGCTCCTGGGGAACAGTGTGTGATGACTATTGGACGATTGAGGATGCTAACGTGGTTTGCCACCAACTTGGTTTCGAGCGTGCTTCGAAAGCAGTCACGTCGGCACGTTTCGGTGAAGGAACTGGAAATATATGGATGGATGACGTGAATTGTGGTGGAAATGAAAGAAAATTGTCAGAGTGTAAACATCAGGGATGGGGAAAACACGATTGTGGCCATAGTAAGGACGCAGGTGCAATATGCATCATGCCAGGTAAACAGGAAATGCCCACGCTGAAAAATTTTCCTACTATTGCCACTGACCTTCCCTGGTTCTTCCTTTTATCTTAATAGTGTTTCCACGAGAGGACCGGGCAGGCGTGACACATGCCATCTCACCCATTTCTATCAAACTCTCGCAGTTTATGAGTGTCACTAAGTTATAATTATTCAAGAATCCATAGTAGTTCGGGTTCCCAGCTTCTCCCTGGGGCATTAGAGCCCCCACATTAAATCCCTGGGGTAAAAGGCTAAAATTACATCGAAAAATCACTTTCAACGAATCTCTCTCACACTTACAGAATGCGATGGATTCTAATCTCATTATGTCCGACGGTTGTTTGGACCTCAAGGCAACAATTCCTTAAAGTTGGGGTAATTAAATAAAGCATCTGTCAATTTAGAGCAGTCAGTCATGAATTGTGTCATACAACTCTCCCAAATAAGGAAAAAGTCTGCAATTAAAAATCCTTATGTTTTCTTTTTCGGAAGAGTTGTGTGACACAGTTAATGATTAACTGCTCTAAATTGACAAAAATTATATCAAATTACCCTAACGTTAAGGAATTGTTTCCTTAAGGTTCAAACAACCATTAGACACAATAAGATTAAAATCTATCGCATACTGTCAGTGTGAGAGAGATTCGTTGGAAGTGTATTTTTCGATCTAATTTCAGCCTTTTACTCCAGGGATTTGATGTGGGGGCTCTAATACCCCAGGGATAAGCCGGGAGCCCGAACTACGTTGGTTCTTGAATAACTTAGTAACCCTCATAAACTGTGAAAGTTTGAAAGAAATGGCTGAGATGGCATGTGTCACGCCTGCCTGGTCCTCTCGTGGACACACTCTTTAAGAACATTTCGTAATAAAAAGACAGAATCTTTTTATTTTCTCTTGGTAATAATGATTTCATAAACTTAGGCAAGCCTAAATCTTAGCCCCAATTAGTCAAACTGTGGAGCTTGTTTGACTTTTGATTGGTTATCCACTAATCAAATCAACCAACCCATCCGTGAAAATTCTCAATCGGTCAGTCACAGCATTTCTCCCTCAGCATATCCCTTCGTCTGAGCGAGGAGAAGATTGCAATTATCCGCGTCGTAAAGGAAATTTTTCCTTCTTTTAGCCAAAATTTCTTGCAGTTTCCTTTACACGTCTATTGGTATTACAAGACGATAACCCCATGGCACCACCATTCTTCTATAGAAACTAAATTTGCGAACGTATTAACTATAGTCTAATTACTTTTTTTATGTGGCAGTTCGATTAGCTGGTGGAAGTAACCCGTCTGAAGGGAGGGTTGAAGTATTTCACAATGGTTCCTGGGGAACTGTATGTAATGACTTCTGGACAATTAAGAACGCCAACGTGGTTTGCCGACAGTTGGGTTTTACGGGTGGAGCTTTGTCCGCGATTACTTCTGCAGGTTTTAGTCGTGCAAGTGGAAAAATATGGATGGATAACGTTGATTGTGGTGGAAATGAAAGAAGGTTAAAACTGTGCAATCATGCTGGTTGGGGACAACATGACTGTAACCATGATGAAGATGCAGGCGTTTTATGTATCCCAGGTAACTGGAAAATACCCTTTACATTGTAATTCATTGTTTATAAAATGTTATAACATAGTGCGCGTGCTTGCCCTCTATCAGTCCCATTGAGCCGCTACGAACAAAATCTTTATTTACGCACGCCCGTGCGTAAATAAGATGACGTGAGCATTTTTTTCACCTGGCTTCAGAATTTCCGTCCCGTTAAGCTGCTGTGCAGTTTTCCCTCTCTTTGAAAGATGAAAGAAACCAGCGAAGAACTGCTCAATTTTTCTATCGGCATTGACCTTTTAGGTCCTTATCCAATGAGCAACAAAAATATAGCCGAAAAAACTCGCAAGTTGCATGTTTCGTAAATTTGTCGGAAGACCAGCTGCAGCAAATTTTGGCCGAAAGACATTCACTAGGAATAAAAAAATTCACCAACTGGCCATTAATAACATTTAAAGGTAAAATTTCCGTTTTAATTGTTGTTTTTAAATTTATTCAACCTGGGGAATAAAGTACACAGTTGTTAATTGGAAATTTACCAAAACCAAAACAATCAAAGCCGCAAAAAATCTAAATCTAAAACCGTTTTTCCGCTTTTCATACACAGTTATCGGTTAACTGGATCAAATGTTCTCGCTCAAACCAAAGTATAAAATGTAGCGTGTTTTTGACCAGCCAATGGGGACGTTTGTTTACTTTTTTGTGCATTGTGAGAATTTTTGCACTCTATCACAATAAAAGACTTCTTGGCGCAGATCCTTTTGTCGCTCCGTTATAAAAGAATTTGCTCATGCTTTTAGCTGTGCGTACATCGAGTTATGGATGCACTTGGGAAGTTTGGAGAGCAAAAAGCTAGAGTTGCTCTCGGCTGCGCCTCGAGCTACTCTTACGCATTTCTCGTGCTCTCCAAACTTCCTGCGTGCATCCATAACTCGATATACGCACGCTCTCCCCGTACCTCTCTCCTCCCAAGAGTTTAAATGGGTACTGGTAAATTGTCAGGGAAGCCTGATGAAATATTGGGGGTAACATTGTTGCGATGGATTAGTATCCCATCTAGGGAGGAGTGATAATACTCCTAGTTGCTTCTTGTTAAGGAAGCCGGGATAAACTCTGGCTGGGTGGTCCACTTGTCACGACTATAGACTTGACCTTTTTTCTCTAACCATCATTTCCCCATAGAAACTGAAGTCACAAACTAATCAATGATAGTCAATTACCTTCTTTTGTAACAGTTCGATTAACTGGTGGAGGCAACCTATATGAAGGGCGGGTTGAAGTGTTTAATCGAGGCTCCTGGGGAACAGTGTGTGATACCCATTGGACACTTAAAGAAGCCAACGTGGTTTGTCACCAACTAGGATTCGAAGCTGGAGCTTCCGCAGTGGTCAGGTCTGCAGGTTTTGGTGAAGGAATTGGAAATATATGGATGGATGAGGTAAACTGTGTTGGACATGAACGACGACTAATAGATTGTAATCATCTCGGACCGGGAAAACACAACTGTGACCATAGTAAGGATGCAGGCGTTATATGTATTCCAGGTAATTACAAAATGCCTTGTACTATAGAGTTCTGTGGGTTTCTCCTAGTATTTCCTTTAACTTCGAAAAGATCATCTAATAAGGATACATAGATTCAAGCTAGCTTTAAAACTGAAGTCCAGTTAATCAATTCTTAATTACTGACGGGAAAGTTAAGTTTAGGTTCAAGGCTCGATGGTTTTTTCATGCTTGTATACAGTTGCCCTCTGTAAGAAATTCTGCAGAGTTTTGTTAAGTAAGGCTTCTTTCTAACATTTGACTGCATTCATTCGTCATTTCACAGTTAGATTGGTTATTGGCAGACAAATCACAAAGTTGCAAGGGCGGGTGGAGGTGTTTCACAATGGAATCTGGGGAACAGTTTGTAATGACGACTGGGACATAAAGGATGCCAACGTAGTTTGCAGTCAACTTGGATTCGTGAAAGCTGTAGAAACACCGAGTTTCTATGTATACGGTACAGGATCCGGGAAAATATGGTTGGACAATGTAAACTGTGTGGGGAACGAGAGTTCACTAGCAGAGTGTGATCATAACCAGTGGGGAACACATGACTGCTCTCACTCTCACGATGCAAATGTAGTTTGCGCTCCAGGTAATAACAGCAGTCTCGATGCTGTTTAGATGCATTCATTCGTCATTTCACCGTTCGATTGGTTATTGGTAGACAAATCATAAAGTTGCAAGGGCGGGTGGAGGTGTTTCACAATGGAATCTGGGGAACATCTTCAAAATCTCGTTTCAGCTCACATTCACACAATGTGTCTGTTTAAGTTGCCAGCTCCAGTGTTTAAAACACTTTTTGTACTAGAAGAAAAGGTAAAACACCAAGTATTTCAGTGCTCGTAGATTAGACAAAATAAGCTAAGTCTGCGTCGATTTGAAACTGGATATCCCAGGATTATGGGCGCGCGTGGTAATTCGTGATGGACGTGACAAAACTACCTTCACTGTTAAGTAGCTTCCATTTACGTATATATTTCAACTTTTCCATTTTTTGGTAATTATTTCTTCCTTGCGGGTTTTCATAATGCCTGGCTTACTTTCATTTTGAAAAATAGAATGACAACGGTGTAATATGAACTTAACTTCACATAGGCTTTAACATTTGTGCGTTTTTTTTTATTTCCAAAGGTCCTCACTATTCGCCTCCTACTTCTCCTAAACCTAAAGGTATGTACTTTATTTTTATTGCCAAAAAGTACCGGCAAACAAATTGTGGCGAAAATGCTTTCTCTGAAGGACAAGTTTGCGCTCCAGGTAATAACAGCAGTCTCAAAGTCTCGTTTCAGCCCACATTCACACTATGTGTGTTTAAGTTGCCTGCTCCAGTGTTTAAAATACTTTTTGTACATGATCAGAAGGTAAAATGCTAAGTATTCCAGAGCTCGTAGATTAGGGAAAATAAGGTCAGGAATCTGCGTTGATTTGGAACTGGATATCCAAGAAGTATATGCGAGCGTAGTAATTCTTGATGGACATGACAAAAATACCTTCATTGATAAGTAGCTTCCATTTACGTATAATTTTCAACTTTTCCTTTTTTTTTCGTAACTGTTTCTTCCTTGCTGGTTTTCAAAATACTCAGGCTTACTTTCATTTTGGAAAATAGAATGACAACGATGTGATATAAACTTAGCTTCACATAGGCTTTAACATTTGTGCCTTTTTTATTTCTAAAGGTTCTTACTCCTCGCCTCCTATTTCTCCTAAACTTAAAGGTATGTACTTTATTTTTATTGCGAAAAAGTACCGGCAAACATGTTGTGGTTACAATTCTTTCTATAAAGAACAAGCAATATTTGTTACGTTCTTCGTGTTTTCGAATTTTTAGATGTTACTGTCTGAGAAATATTTAGAGGTTGGGAACATAGGTGAACTTGGTATCCTTGGTGAGATATTCCAAAAGCAAAATAAGTTTTTGTTATTGCTTTTTGTTCCTTTTTTATTTCAATTAGTTAGTCCGTGGATTTCTTTCGGTTGTTTTAACTGAACGCATAGCGAAACTTACCTCTTTAAAGACATAAATTTTCAAGACTCAGAGGCCACAAGTGGTACCCCTCTGAAACACTGGTATCAAATGGCAGAAGCGAAACTAGTTTGGATCTTGGAACATCTTACCAAGGACAACATATATAGTGAGTTTTAGCAAAAGCGGTTAACCCGTGTTTCCATGCCTTGGAACACTTTCTCAGACAGTGACACACTTAGAAAAAAACAGGACTATTGTCACTCATACTAGGCACTTCAAATTTATTGAAGGAGATTGGCGCTTCAAAAAAGTATCATCTTTATCCGAATTCGGAAGCCGCAATTTTTGTACCTTGCTAAACTACCAGGCCGCTTAATTATTGGGCAACAAAGCTTCACTCCTATTTTTTTCAATTCTTTGGCGATCTACTCGAATCGTTAGAAGTGACACAAAAGGAATTTTTTGTCTCAAATGGTTACCTAGAGAAGCATGTCTTTGGGAACTTTCAACTGAACAACGGCCATTCAAATGGGATGGATGAAAATGGCTGTATAATCTTAGGCACAAAGAAAATGACAACCACAAGTGTATATATATAAGTGTATATATAATATATAAATTTAGCCGAGCCTAAAAGCGGAGCTCGCATTTTTTTTTTCCCGCACGTCTAAAGGGCACAACGCCTTGCTCCGGCCAGGACTAGAACCCGGGTCGTCCGACTCGGAGCTCAGTGCACTGACCACTAGACTACTAGACAAAGCCGTGGTGTTGGTGTGCCTGCGGTACAATTGACCACGCATGTTAAAAGTAGCATCTTGTACAGTCGATCGCAGGGTCGTACGGTCGTAAGTCCAGATTTTTTCGGCTCGATGGGTTACTACTATTTTTTATAATTATGGGGCTACGCTCTGCGAGCTCCGCTACGAATCAAAATCATCGAGTGGGAGGCAAGACCGTGGTCGTTCCCCCTGATGCGACCCGCGGGTGAAAAAGGGTGGGTAAAAACAAAGGCGAGTTGTCAGGTCCAAGGCTAGCTAACAGTGATGCAGTCGATAACAAAACCAGCGTCCATGATAGAGGTACAGTTAATGTATAACTAACGGTTGCTACTTATTATATTGCCATTGGACAGTATCCAATACCTCACATATAACTTCTTAGTTTCAGGTGAAAGAAATTCACAGCCTTTTGTCATTGCCACTATCACTTTGTCCCTTTTTATTCTCGTGTTAATCGTGGTAACTGGCTTCCTGAAGTGGCAACAGAGGCAAAACGTACGCGTTGAGGGGAGAAATGTTGAAGCATGTCTGCAAAGACCTCGACATGCTGATACTGCAATTCGTTCTCCAGAGTACGCACAACCGACTGAACAAGAACAACCCACATACGTGAACGTAAAAAGGGGGCACCTTTTTTAGTTTAACTTTACAATGAATTTGCCAGTTTTGCTGATAACAGAGATGAAAATACGAGGCGTTGATGGCGTCTCACTTTCGCGTTCTGTTAACCAGTTTCAATTAAATTTCTGCGTCCGTTAACTCTTGTTTGCCTTCTTCCTTTTGCAGGTGTTTCCAGGAAAAACACCAATCTAACATTCCAAAATGCTTAGTTGAAATCACTGAAGACATCTAATAGTTGCGCGTATATAACACTAGCTTCTTGCTAACCGAGGGTGACGGCCGGGAATATTGGCCCGAGGTCGTTTTGATACGGACCGATCGCAGCGAGGTCCGCACATAAACGACCCAGGGCCAATATTCCCCAGTACGGCCAGAGGAAGTGAGGTTTTTTTTTTAATAGTTAATTACATGGCGCTCGGGCTAAACTTGTTTATTTCTAATTTGCCGACTTTCGAGAACAAAACTACGCCACCGTTTCCGTGGAATCGGTCCGTATGGCAAATCCTTAACCAAGTATCAGAGCGCTCGGGTTCACCTTAGAAACTCTTGAGAAATAACAAACACCCTTATATTTCTTTTAAGTAAAGATAAATTTTTTGGTTATATTTATATATCAGAGTAGACCAATAAGGAAGGTATAAATACATTATTAGATAATAAAATGGAGAAAGTCTTTGCTGAAACAGAGAACCAAGGAAAACTTAAATTACCTCCAGCGCTGGAAAACGCGAGCGAAGAATTTGCGATCGGTTTTAGATTTGCATCTGATTGATTGATCAGGTAGTGAGAGATTTTTTAGGCCAATGGTCGAGGATTTTAAAGGAAAACCAGAGTGGCCTTTGCATTACTTCTGGCTCACAATTGAAAACTGCTTCGTTTGTATGGTTACAAGTTTGTACAGTAATAGCACTGCAGCTAAGTCATTGAGATAATGTCCTGGGTGAAAAAAGAAAGAAAGGGTTTCGATTAGGGAAATAAGCTTGTAGTCTTCAATTAAATTTAAGCTGCGAATAACGCAATTTTTTTGGCCGTAATATTAAAGCCTCCAAGGAATATCTTAGATTTGAAAATAAAACCGCCATTTTTTTTATATTCATTGTATGCATGATCAACATATTTATACTTAAGTGTAATTTAAATACATGTAGAAAAAAACATAAAGAAATTGCTGACAAGAAGCCTGATCCCAGCCTTCGACGGGATTCAAACATGCGCCTCCCAGAAGCTAGTTCCACGCAATTTGACAACAAAGCTACCAAGGTACATGTTAGGAGCGAGACAGATTTCATGTACTACGTTCTTTGTGACAGGAAATGAGTCTGGTTTAATGAAATATAAACAATCCGATCTTGTAAGTGTTGATCCGCTTTAGTGACAGGAAATCCGATAATCTTAACTTTATCTTAACTCAGAGTAAGTCACTGGGCCCTCCGAAATGGGAGCATAAAAACTTATATTAGAACAGAATGAAAACAAGTGAGTGCATGAAGTTCAGAGATTCAGGAAGCCATATCTTGGGGATATCATAAAGTTCATAAAGGTAACGTAATGGTTAAGAAAATCGACAGAGGTCTTTGTTAAGGATTTTTTTTTCCGTTTTTCGGACGCACAATGCGCTAATACATTTTAATCTTGTTTGGCTGACTAGCAGATGAAAACATTCTATCAATAAATTCAGTCCAATATGTGCATACTTAAAACTGTTCGACTTATTGCTTTAGGCCATTTTTGGGCGGTGGATGGTCATCCACTGATCGAATCGACCGATTCATTCAAGGATACCATGCGCGCGCATGAAGAGTTGGGAGGATTTATCAATATGTTGAGGCGCTCTCGAAAAAACAGTTCTTACACTCGCGTTTATTGAGAAAAACTATCCATCGTCATATCCAAAGCGCACTCAAGGAGTAGTTCTTGAATAAAGTAAGTTTTAGGTAAAACTTGTCAATGACTGAGAATTCCTGCTGTTGAGTGGCAATGCCCTCCATGATCGACTTAGTAATAGACCTAAGCACCTACCACTAGCAGTCTGCCCAAAAGATCTCAGCGTGAGTCCAGATTAAATAATGTAAAGAAGTTTTGTGGTCCGTTCCTTGTCCGCATCACAGAGGTTCTATATTATTAGAGTCCTTCATATATGGATGAAATAAGTCAGAAATTTTTCCGGGGCATAGGGAACTCCTCGCAAAAGATTGGTGTCCGTTAAGAGAGATCTCCCTTGCGAAGTTTCCTCTGGAAGTCACGCAACGTTCTCTAAAGAGCGTTGCGTGATTTCGTTTTGTCAGTGACTTCCTCGCCCCAATTTCCCTAGCACCCCTTCGGACGATTGAGCAGGTCACCATCTTGCACACTGTGGTGAAATTTTCTTATCTTGGCGAAATGGAAGGCTCTCTGTACCTAGCGTTTTCTGCACTTTTGGTGTCGGTCATTGTCTGGCTTCTTAATCCTTATCACAAGTTCTTGAATTATTCCTTAAGAAGAGACGGTGGCATGCGAACTGATCTTCCGGATGGGGTTCGCTCGTTCAACAATATGCCTGGCCCAAAGGGATGGCCTATCTTAGGCGATATGCTGAACTTTCTACGAAAATCTGAGTTCAAAGAAATTATAGCGGAGCTGAAGGACTCGTTTGATAAGTACGGTCCTGTTTTTAAGAGGAATTTTTGGGGAACATCAGTGGTTTATGTCAAAGACCCAAAGGATATCGAAGTCGTCATCAAAGCAGATGGAAAACATCCCATGCGACCTCCCTCAGCTGTAAGCACGGCGATTAATAAGTACAGGAAAAGCAGAAAACTCCCTAAAGTCCTTTTTGGATTGTAAGTATTGAGAAATTTGTGAATCAACCAATGAAAAATATAGGTGGCAAAATTGGGGGGGTTGTGGGGGCAGCCTTCCCCCCCCCCCCCCAGGAAAAATTTGGGGACTCTGTACACCAACGTATAAGTCTCGATGATATTACTAACGCAGCATAAAATAAGCTTCCCCATATATTCAGTCTAGGAGTCTTCAAATTGTTTCATCAGGATCATGTAAGGCAAAATTCAATGTGGGATGAGGTTTTCATCTGATCAACTCCACCTTGCTGGATTTTTCCACTAGACTTAAGTGAAGTGGATTAAATTTTGCATTGATGTGATAACATGTGAGGAATGGAAACAGACAGTCTTTATGAGAACTCAACCATTTTTTTTTCATCAAATAGACTAAGCTCTCTCTTTTTATTTTCTACAAATTTCATAACAGTGAGGTGTATTTCAGCTTAAAAAAAAATGAGGAAAAAAAAGGTGAAAAGGAAGAGAATCAAAAGCAATCCAAGGGAACAAGAATTTTGTTTATTTGGATTTTTCTGTAATAAGTTAAATATGATTTGAATTCTAGCTGCATCAGGAAATTGCAACAGAGAAATAAAGTAACGAAAATATAGTGGCTAAAACATTACATTACACTGCAAGGAAAGGATATTTACTTGAACTACTCAGGGGAAAGCATTTCAGAAAAATTTGTCTCAGGGTATGCACTTGCCCTGGTATACTGGGTGAGCTAGAAGTGTCCCCCTCTCCCCTCACTTCAAAGCCCTTTGTTGCCATTGAAACATTAAGGAGAAAATGAGATAATTCACTGCCTCTGAGCCAAAATGAACTTGACAGAAGATCAAGTTGGGCAGTGTGGCAGGGAGTTTAGCCCTTTCATCTCAAAGTTGCTTTCTAACAGAACCAAAATGAAAATCTCGAGCACAAAATACTGAAAAGGCAACAATTTGTGGGTAGGATTTGACAATGACACTGCAAAAAAGTTGGAGGAACTGTTAACTTTTTAAACCTTAACATAAATAGCCATATTTTCCACACTGTTCTCTCTGCATTTTCTATATCGGTAATGACAATAAGGAGCTTCAGTTGGTGATCATTTTCCTTATTCTCATGATGTTTACAGTTTAGTCAAGAGTGATATTGTAAGGAGAAATTAGAGGCTAGTCATTCTTATAAGTTAGAGTCTTAAGCTTTTACACCACAATGTCAGTATGTATATTCCCCATACTATTCTATACACATTTGCTAAGTTGTTGACAAGGAGAATTTGCTCTATAATCAAGAGCCTCTTTAGTTGGTGATCATTTCTTTTATTCTTGTGACCTAATTGTGTGATTTAGGGATGACTTTGTGAGTAGAAATTAGCAAGGGTTTTAAAATGCTTTGAAGTAGGAGTCAAACTTGGCAAAAGTGGTTGACTGTGAAAAGTTTATTTAAGGCCAAAAGGTAATTATTTTGATTAGAGTAACCGGCAACATGATGTCAAGATGAACATGAACTCCAGCAGTCACCAGCTTGTTTTGAAATCCCTGAATTAGATGTTAGTCACTCTTAAGGTCATAGGGTTAAGAAAGAGAGCTTGTAAAAGTCTTTGAGAGTGTAAGGTATGTGTAACGGTAATTAACAGGTTATAGATACTAAAGAGTGTAACAATCTAAGAGACAAAGAGATCTTGATCGTGTGGTAATTAAGAATGAGTCTTATGTAAGATATCATGACAATTTCATGTATGATATACTTGAGCTCTTGGGGAAATAATGGTGAATTAAGGAACAATTTACCTCAAGTGTTGACCTAAGTGGTAGCATAAATGAAATTTGTAATTTATGGTTGAGGTGAATCAAAATGAAAAACAGGGCTAGATCTTGATCAATTAGTAATGCAACCACATTTTTAATCACATTGGTTAATAATTGTTCACCAAAGTAGAGATAAATATCCACCACTTTCACTAGCACTGAGGTGAATAATTTTTTAATTATATACCACATAGATACCTCAACTCGAACTTGAAGCCAACTTGAACTCTTGATTATATTCATCCCTGGCTGCTCCAGGGGTTAATAATACTGGCTATTCACTTCCAAACTAGCCAATTAGCACTTGGGAAACCGTGACTATAGTCTACTTGTGTGGTATATACTAACAATCAGTATCCACAGGGACAAAATAATATATATATTTTTGCTTTTATCATGAAATTTGTTAATATTGTAATATTTAACCCACCAGTATTTAACTTCTGGGGACACCAATAAGGTGAAAATATGTAAAATAACATAAAATGTGAATATCTTAGTCTACATGCTGTGTGATGTTATACCACTATCTGTATAAAGTATATACAGACTAGGTTAGTGCCTGAAAATCCCACAGTTTATAGACTATGATAATCA